ATTTTTCAAATCATTAAAGTTACAAAAATGAAAAGAAAGCTAGCCGGGAGCCCTAAAAATTAAAACAATATATAATCAACCTGAACTCCCTAAATTACAAATGAAAGATTCTATTATAGTAACACGAGGCGTATTTATCTATTGTCTGTGTGTAATGTCTTTTGTTAACAATGGAATATCTCATTGTTAAAAAAGGGGTGGAATAAGCTTGTGTTAGCGCTATTTTTTAAAGTTAAAAAAAAAATTATGAAAGTGCGTGCGTGTATGCAAGCGTGATCAAGAATAATCGTTAGCCTGTCACGTCTGCATTGTAATGACAAGAAAACAGTTTCAAAATTTACTTTCTGAAGTCAGTTAGAATAACAACTGCGAAACTCTTCTAGAACGAAGGTTTCAGCGCGTGCAAAATATATAAAAACACAATAAAGAAAAAAAATACTTAAAGAGAATAAAAACAGAAGTATCACGAGATAAAAGATGGTTTCACGCTGAGAAGATGATACCCATTATTGTCTGTTTAGAGTCATTAACAATATCGACATTTTTTTTCCATTCTCTTATTTATTAATTTTTAGTTTTAGAAAGTTTTCACTCAAGTTCTCGAACATTTCGGAAATTTTTTTTTAGAAAAAAAAAAAAAATCTTTAATTTATTTTTCATCTGTATTCATACACCCAATAATTTTTGCCGATAACTTGGAGAAAAGTCATCAACCTGCCAAACAAACTTCAACAAGAAAATCAAGTATACACAAGAGAATTTATTGGTCCGAGAAATATTAAGAAATCAGTTTTCAATGAAAACTGACCGTTAAAACAAGCTTATACACAAAGCTGTATTGTATTTTTTTGTATAATACTACCATGCGTTTCTGAAGCTAAAAACAGGGGAGAAATTAAAGACCCAAGTATTATCTGCCTCACCGTAATAGAGCCGTTCCTATATATGATATAACTTTATATATCAACAGTATTTAGAAAAATATGACAAACTGGAAAGTATTTTAGTGACGCGTTTCACCCGATAGTGTGTCATTATATAAGTTGTACCGTATTATTTACGCTATTTATATTCAGACTATTGTCCTCATCCTTGTTGTTATCCCAAAGTTTCGGCTGTTGTGCCATCCGGCCTTCCTCAACAGCCGAAACGTTTTGATAACAAAAACAAAGATGAGGACAACAGTTCGAATATAAATAGTGTAAATAATGATAACTTCTCATCTCAGAAATTGTATTATAATATCCATTAATATCTCAATGTCGTACACGTATTTCGCAAAATATTTAATAGATCATATTTTTCTGATTGATAGGACTTTATTATATCTAAATAAATAAGCAGGGAATTCTGTCTGTCCGTCCGTGTCTCTGAAACCCCTCTAACTCGGGTCACGCTTGCTCTGCAGAGGCATTATACCTTACCAGGGTGATACCGGAATTTAAAACCTGGCCTTGGTAGGATGGACGGCATAACAAAGGAGCTACCAAATTATGCTCCTTGATCGGAACTCTCTAGGACAACAGAGAAGAAAAGGGGGTTTCAATATGGCGGTCAAGTATCAAACTATCAATCTGTCAGTAATCCACTGGTCATGTTTTACGTCTATTGTTATGCATTAGTAAATTAAATGTATAAAAGGTCTGAATTGTATTTTCGTTCTTATTTAATACAGGTAAGTACATTTAGTAAGACAACACTGGCAACGGAGATTTTTTACAAGAACTCAAGCACGTGTAGCAATGATCAATAAACCTGACTGAAAACAATTAACCTGACAATCTTCGCAGAAATCCTCACGTCAACAGCAGGTACAATCAAAGAGCACAAACACATTACCCTTCAACTGGTGCTTGAACATCCAGCATTGGGATCTGTGTCCGGATGAAGAGAGAACAGTTAAAAATTCAAATTTTAAAATAACCGAAAGAAATTAGTAATTTTAACTTTTTAATTTATATTGAGTTTAAAGTAACACAAAAACTTTGTGAATTTATTTTTTGTTTTGTTTTGTTTTAAATTCAGTTTAAAATATCTCCAAAACTTGGTGAATTGAGAAAATCAATTTTATTTCTTCAAAATGTCAAGGAATCGGAGTTAAAGTGAGAGATTTCGTGACGTGAGGTTTTGGAGTTCTGTAGAATTTTTTATTTGAAGAAGTCGACTCAGTTTAAGTTCCACGGAGTTTGTGCTTTGAAGAACTCAGACTTGACAACAAATGTATGAGAGTATTACCTCCTTATCTACTTTTTCTTCCTTTATTATTACTACAATTATCGTTACAATTACTAGTACTATTATTAATACTACTATTATTGTCACTACTATTACTACTACCATTGTCATTATCATTTTTTTTTATTATTACTATGCGTTCTTTTTGCTCACCAAAACCAAACAGTGATATATTTTCGTGTTCTGTCTTTCTTCCCTTGCAATCAAAACGGAATGGTTCATTATATATGTGAGGGAAGGACAAGTTGTAACGCATGGGCTAACTAACGAAGAAACAAGCAAAATTATAGTCTAGCGAGAAATAACCAATTTCTTGATTCCCTGATAGCTACAACCTTCAAAAATGTAAATGCAACATCAGTCGCCATCTTGTGTCTCCTTGAACCCTGTTCCATATTTTTCTTTCCTCAATTCTGCCTATTTTCAATTTTAACAGCTACTTTTCCTAATCTCGCTTTCTTGTGGCGTTATCTCCTTGCTTTGGGGGGATATTTTCATGGTTGTTCAGATTTGAATTTTCTGATAATCTTAATTCTTCAGTTAATGATTGAATAAGCTCATGGCAAATTCTACGTTTATAAAATACTCGTAGAAATATCCCTAACGTATCGTTAAATATTTGAGCTTGACAACTTTCACAAAATATTACAGTAACTACGATAAATATGAATGCAAGTCGTTATTTAAAGTAGTAAGAGGGTACAAACAAATGAAAATTGCCAAAGTTTTTTATTTCACTAAAGTAGACATTAGACACATTAAATTGTTATCGGACTCCTTCTTCTTTCATTCCCTTTTACTCAAACCATTTCCGACGTCGTGTAATCGTTTTTCCAGCAAAACGCTAGATCAATTTCGACGAAGCAATTAATTAGATACTCATTGGCTGCTTCATACTTTTGATCTTGTGCCACACCTAAACTACACTTAGTTAATCGCTACATCTTCCCTTTCTTTCTGTTATTCTTTTTTTCGTAGATTTATCTCTCAACTACCTCCCACTAAAACCAAACGACGCCTTTGATAGATCTTTCCTTGCGTCTATACTCGCACACAGGTATAGTCCATTGTTTATTTGAGTTAATGACAGCGTAATACACTCGATAACTAAGGAATAGGCAGAATTATAATAGCATACTTGATTCGGGAACTTTGAAAAATATTATCTGTTATATTAAAGCTTCATTTCATAATTATACGTAAAGGTTTATAAAATATTGATCGATTGGCGGATTCGTTTTCTACGGCCTATCAAACCATTGCAGATTATTTAAAGCCAGGAAATATTCTTACATTGTGAGATTTTTTATCATTTTATTTGTTTTTGGAGATAATACTTGAGTGATACATGTCTTACTAATTAACCCATAGCTGGTGGGAGAAAAGGTGGATTAATTCGTTTCCCAAGAATATTTGCTACTAAGTGAATATAACGAACCCAAGTGAAATTGGAACACGGCTCTCCGATTAACAATTCAGACCATTATCCATTATACCCCACCCTGCACATCCAGGCTTATAGCACCTGGTATTCTTAGACTGTCACTCATTTAGGTACTAAACAGACTCGATGTAGTTTAACTTGGATGGATCATAAAGCAAAAAACCTTGATTTTCCTTAGAAAATACATCAAATGTACACCCGAAGAAATTTTGGGATACCTCGGTACGTTTTGGTGAAACAGAAATAAGTTGTCAAAATCGTTTAGACATAAAAAAAAAGAATGAGTAAAAAGTTATCAATATCTGGGCGGTACATCAAAATGAATTCGCATCGTATGAAAGAAAGGTTAATATAATTTGTGGGAATCAATTCTGTTATGTCCTCAATGGAAAACAATTCGAATTTAACTCTTAGCAATCATAGCAACTTGAAAAAACACCCCCCACCAAAAAAAAACACGAAGAGTCGACTTTTAAACTCAAACATATTCTAAATCAACTCCTGCCTTTGTTTTTTTTTTTATTTGATGTACTCTTTGGTCAGTGATAAATTTTTTAAAAATGTCGAACGGAATCTATTCAATCACAGCATTTTATTATCGTATTCCAATACGTTTTTGCACTTAGCATCCACTCAAGAAAATTACCAGAATTCTTAAATATTACTCATGATACCAAACTGTTTCTTTCATTAGTAATTTCCGTTTTGAGGACGCATTTCTCATAACGAATACACCATCCTAACTAATTCAGTGCAGTTAAGATTAAATTATAAAAATTAGAACCATCTGAAAAAGGTTTCCAATATAGATAATGTTCTACAAAAAGAAAAAAATGACTTTAAATTCTTTAGTTTGCATGTAAAATCTATTTAAATCCAAACAGAGTCCTGCAACCCCGAAATGTTCCTAGCATCTTTTCTACTAAAGACACCCCTCGACGTACTAATATTTTTTTTTAATAGAAACATTACTACATACCAATATACCTCCCAAATATAATTGTTTTGTTGCAATGCTGCAATACATGTATTAAAAGCTCAAACGCGAACTCCAATGACCTCGCAGGTCAAATATAATTCTGTCTAAGTTCAGAAACATTTTTGTATTTCTGAGTAAATTTAAAATCTTATTCCATTTTGCCAGAAATGGAATGACATCTCGAATGACCTTCGAAGTCGACCTCACATCACCGATGTTAATACTTGAGGTCTTACATTTATCGACGAAAGAAAAAAAACCCTCTGTCCATAGCACTTTTCTTTTTGACCATAATGTCCGGACATACAAATACACTAACGTTGATGTATTAAGAAAGATTATTTACCCTTCGTATACTGTTGGATAGAAGGGCGATGAAAAATCCTGCCACTCATGACGCACGGCTGTCAAACTTGTCTTCTCTCGACATGCGGCCGACGCTACAAATAAAATAAATGAATTACAAAAAATTAGTTAAAACATGAATAAATAAAAGCATTCTTTTGTTTTAAAACAATGCACAAAAAGTAAATCAAAATAACATTCACTTTGTTTCAGGTTTAACATCTTCAAACAGAAACAATTTCTTACGGTTATTTTCTTGAAAAATATAAAAATATTTTGTTTTTTTAATATTTTAATTTATATACAATTTTTATTGTAAAGTCTCAAACAAAATCACTCAACAAAGCTGAAAGCAATAATTTTGTAATTACAAAAAGAAACAATGAAATGACTAAATTTTGAATCTGAAAAGAGTTTCTTTATCTGCTATAAGTATTACAGAAACGGTTTCTAATATAGCCATTTCAGAACAGAATCTTTCAAAATGAAATCCTAAAACAAAAAACGAATATAACCAAATTTCATCGTTTGCTTATTATTTTTAGCACGCTCCATTTTAAAACACGTAACGAAAACTATATTAAAAATGAGTCTAAAAATTCAATTTCATATCAAATTTAAACCATTAAAAACGGATATTGGAGAAAATTCTGATTTAAAAATCTTTTTTGTTCAAGACCTCGAAACGGATATATTTTGATCTGAAATAACTCAAATACTGGGGTTAAGAGACAACTTCAATGTTCAATGCGCCGACATTATTTAAAAGGTGTAAAAATTCAATTAATTATTGAAATTAATGGAAACTGAATTTTGAGAATTCGGTACAGAATTTATCGAAAATAATTAATTTTTAAATTAGGCGAACAACTTTATTTACTATATGCCCAATCACTGGCAAAGTTCATGAATAAATTTTGCAAAATTTTCTTCAAAATTGTAATGTTTTATTTTATTGAGAAATTCACTTGCGTCGATAATAATGTCATAATCCCGGAAATTTAAAAATATGATATAAATTAACTTATTGCTTTGTGAAGCAATATTTTAGTTTCATTTAATTTATATTGTAAATTTATGGTATGCGAAAAATAAATGATTACTGTACATTGGTTGAAAAGTTTTATCAAATTTTTTTTTTTATTTTTACATTCGTGAATATTTGAAATTTCCTGCTTTCCGCTTTCAATGCATCTTCAATGTTCTTAAATAAAAGCGTTTCAGTAAACGAGAATTAAATAAATTCTTCAGTATCCATGATGTACTAACATGCTTGAAATTTATTATGCATCGACATTATTAAACAATAAACAGCATTTCCTCTTGGGCATTAGTATGATTTAAAACGTATTATCTGTTTTAAATTTTTTATTTATTATTTAATTATTAGCGGTTTTAAATTTAATATCCTATGATACAGACAAACTATAGAATGCCACAATCATCTACTACCTGTTAAATTGCTGTTTATCAATCGGTATCAGTGATATTGTAAGAAAATAGACACAAGGTTTTCTAAGATAGGAAGTTTTATTCAGTAATGTTTATTTGCAAATGAATATAAACCAATGTAAACGGATAGAATTTTATTTTTTAAATTGAAGAAGTATGAAAATTATAATTTAAGACCGTCGACAATCCCATAGAGGTTTAAATCTGGGAACAAAAAATGCAGAATGCAGTTTCGTTTGTTAATTTAAGAAATGTCTTCAACGGCGTACAGTAATAATGCACAGGTAAAAAAATTGGCACAAATGGAAAATAGGAAAAAAATGACACAATAAGTCATCCAGTTTATTGTTATAAATCTGGCTTGGTTGATCGGTTTCTGCTGCTTTTCTTTTCATGTTGTTGATGCATTTTGTGGATGCAATAGCTGCATAATCAGGAGAGTGGTTGTAGATTTTAGCTGGTACAGGATCAGTCATATCAAGGCTGGTCGTCATGGTACCTTTATAAAAAGATGTTCTCATAACACATTTCCATTTGATTGTAATTGATCTTGCAATCTGTTTTGTATACATATACCCTTGGAAGCAAATCTCTTTTCCTTTATAAAAAGGCGAAAGATTTATCCGGAAATGAGTGACCGGAAATTACTTGCTATAACTTCCATGATGGGCTTTTGATAGAGTCACTGACATCAATTGTGTGTTTGTTCGCTCCAAGACAACTGAACCTATTTCTAATCCAGGATTCAGTGCGATTGTTTCTATTTGTGTGATCTGTTCAATAATTGAACCAGAATTCCTTCAATTGAACCACTGAAAATAAAAACAAATGACAACTGCACCAGAACTCAACTGGCGTCTGATTAGACAGTTACCGGTTCGATATTTATATATTATTTTTCAGAATTTACTGAATAGATAACGTGTGCATTTCACTTTTTTCCTGTATGTTTTCACTTTATGATATTTTTTTTCTATTTTCCCCACTTGTGCCATTTTTACCTCAGCCATTATTACCTAAATTCGTCTTCAGCTGGTCGAAGGGGTGGTAGGTGTAGATGTAAAGGTAGTTGGCAATGATAAAAAAACCTAAATTAATTTAGGTAAAACAGATTAAAACAGAGTCTGCATTAAAATACTATTTAGATTTTATATATTAGCGTCAGATATTGCCACTGTTCTTAGAACGAATAAAAAGTATCACTTGTTTATAAAATGTTTTTGTTTGTTTGACGGCATATCAACTCCTTATGGGTCATTTAATGCCGATATTTAATTTTCTTTAGGGCGCAAGTAATTTTTTTTCTTTGCACAAAAATCTGTTACTGGTATTTTTTTAAATCAATTGCTGGTATTAATTTTACTATGAACATGTATTTTCGTACTTTCGGCGTTTTGGCCCCAGTTTGGTGGGAGGTTCCCAATTTGCCCATATCTGGGACCCTAACAGGTGCTACCACCCCGGGTTAGGGTGAACGTGGGAACAATAGTAATTAAGAAGTGGTTCCATACTCCCCAAAACCTCCCGATTTGTATCTTTGCTGCCGGAAGTTTGTCATATGTAGCACGGGTTTATCAAATTTGGATCGTCATATGTAAGCTTAATTTATGAATTAGACCTAATTAGAAATTAACGATAATTAATAGTAAAATTACAGCAATATACTGTTATACGAATAATATGACCAACAGAAGATTCGCTTTTGCCGTAGATCTTAGCAACATCAACATCCGATTTTATTCTGACATTGTTAAATCGAGCACTTTCAACTATTCACTCCTCAGAATGACGTTGCAGATATTTTTTAAATATCAGAATAGCATAAAGCATTACCCTTAAGATTAAAATGATATTTTTTTAGGCTTTAACATTCTAGATTGCAACATCGGTAACTAAAATACCGATAGGATAAGACATGGATAAGGGGTTTTATATATTTATATATATATATATATATATATATATATATATATATATATATATATATATATATATATAAAACTTTAAAGGTCATTTATAAACAGTATGTACAATATGAAAGCGAATAATATAGGTAAAGGAAAAGTTAAACATTGCTTTAAAACTATTTGCTTTAATTTAAGAAGAATCCTCATTTCAAACGCTGTTCGAATATCGTTTTTGTTATGACCTTAATATTTCGGTCGATTCATTGTACGGAAAAAAAGATCCATCTATTTCGATACGAGTTGTTCACCTGAAGGTCGCAGAATTGATCGGCCGAAACGATACATTAACAATAAATAAAATAAAATAACGAGATTAATGTTCCGAACATTTCTTGGAATAACTTGGCTGTATCTAAAAACGAACCCATTAGACTTTATAATTCCGTTATTTGATTACATAAGCACAATTCCATGTATTATTCTCGGAATAAACCGAGAGAGAGAGAGAGAGAGAGAAAAAGAAACTCTTTCCAGAAAGTGATTGAAAACAATGACTGATTGCAGGAAAAGTGTACTTACGGGAGCCCATGTAATAGGAGAGTTGAAAGCCCCTTCCGGTAAGAGAAGCGTCCGAATGGAAATGGATGAAAAGGCTAGCGTGGTATGTGTAGAATTTGCGCCTGGTCCCTCCACACCACCGACTGAATATATCTGCCTTCCTGTCGGTTCCTGCAGAATAACTATAAGTAAGTAAACAGCTATAGCCGAACACACAGAGGCGGACGGGCTTACGCATGCAGTTATCCCGTTTCTTCCGTCCGTTCGTACTTTTCATTTAAGAAGACGACCAAGAGAGAGAAAGCATCGTAAAAATAAAACAAGTCACGGGAAAGAAATAGAAAAATCAAACAAACAAATGAAAGTCTCTTAAGGTAATATATTATTGCACGTTTCTTTTGGGGGAAAATAATAGATTACATCGATGTAGAAAGCAAAGGGTGGCTTTTCTAAGCAAATATGAAGGAATGCAATTGATTATGTTGAATCTTATAGATCATACTGCGGGTTTTGAGGTAATGTAACGTTACTCCGTGTCACCTTTTTATGCTATACTATCATCTGTACAAACGGGTTTGGCGTTAAGAAAAATTACATTAAAGACATTGAAAGGATTTTGGTTTTTGGATAGAGCACTCAACTTTTATTATTACAGATAAGAAAACGGCTTGAATTTGGGATTAGTGACTGAAAGGTCCACGGTTCAATATCAAGTGCCGTTCTAGTCATCTATCACTGGTCAATGTGAAAACATTGCGCACACGCATTGTACCTACAGGTAATCTCTCGTCTTGGAAGTTCGATTTATGCAGCTTCGCTTTTAAGAAAGACCTCTGTTTGTACGGTTTTTTTGCCCCCGATTCCCGAAAAAAATAGTCTAACGAGAAAAAGCAATTAACATGGGAACATACTTTAGCGTTAAAACACGACCCCACAAAAAAAAAAAAAAAGAAAAAAAGCCTGCCGTGATATTGAAAGCATTGATCTATTGTTTGCTGTGAAATACAATAGTACGCTTGACTGCCTTAGCTTAGGCGTACTTCTATCATGCAGTACTCGGTAAATAGTCAGAACATTGGCGAAAGCTATAGAATTTTGAATTCTTAAAGCTACGGTTGTCTGCAATTAGAGCTTCACTGTCATTCGTAACGAAAATCAAAAGGTAAGGCCGGAAGTGATCGGGAATATATAAAATGTTTTTACTCCCAATGAAAATGGCTTCTTTGTTTTACGTCATTTTGGTTAATGAAAGGTTGAATAGGAAAGCATTAGTTTCCTAGAGCATAATTTCAGTCGGGTTCCACAAAAAAAAAAAAAAAATAATGAGAGAAAATTATGTGCGTAAAATACAAGATGGCATCTGATTGAAAGTCATTTCTTTTTTCTTTTATTATTGAGAAATCGGAGAGCCATGTTCAAATTCCAGTCGGGTTCGTTCCATTCACTCATGCGCAAATACCCTTGGGAAAGGTATGAATTCATCTCTTTTCCCCCCAAGCTATAGATTAAATATTAATGTAAACTGGGCTCTTTAGAATTGGTTGGCTACCAGTCTAGGAGAAGGACAACTCTGAATTCAATACCGGGGGCGGGTCGTATTAAAACCGTGTGGCACATTATATGCATCAGTTTTCTGTATTCAGGTTTTCCTAAAAGCGTAGTTGGTTCTACTCAAACTTTCATTATAATCAAATCACATGTGCGGATAGTTTGGTAGTTCGGTTCAAAGAAACAAACAGCTGGATTCTCATACATCGAAGACGATGGTAGCGTTTATAATGTGTGTGTACATGTGGCGAGAAAAAAAAGATCGCCCAGATTCTGGTTTGTTTTGTTTTACGGCATATCAACCGCAATAGGTTATTTAATACTCCATGCTCCATTCGAATCTGGCTTGATAAATTTGATAAAATCAAGTCCGATTAAGTGGTCAGCATGTCCCGCCTCTAGATATTATATATATATATATATATATATATATATATATATATATATATATATATATACATACACAGACATGATAGAATTGAATAGACGCTCTCAGAAACCGTTTATTTTATTAAACAAGTAATTTATACAAATGAAGTAATTATAAATGGTCATAAATTTAATAACTAATACTTGGTTGACATCCCTTTTGCTTTTTTTTTTAATGCAAGGACCCTTCTAGGCATGCTAGCGATGAGTTCACGAATATCATCTTGAGGATTTCTTGCCATGTTTGATGCAATAATCCTAAAAAGTTCGGGCTTAAAGTTGGCTTCCTGTTCTTTTTTGCGAGTTTTCGATCTAATATGCCCCAAAGGTGTTCAATAGGGTTAATATCCGGAGACTGACTTGGCCATGGAAGTTTATTGATCCCATTTTGTCTCAACCAATGTTGCGTTGCTTGAGCAGTGTGACATGGAACTCCATCTTCAATTAATAGGGAGTCAACTTTGCTCATTCTACTACTTGAGAATATTGGAAGGAGCCCTTTCTTTAATATAGAAACATATTTGGTCGAATTAAAATTTCCTTCACACTCCACAAGCTCTGAGCGACCATCACCCCAAATTGCACCCCATACCATTTCTGAAAGCCCCCTGTGTTTCACCGTTGGCTGCAGTCTTTTTAAATCAAACTCTTGACTACAAAGTCTCCATACCCATACTCTTCCACTGCCGGAAAATAATGCGAATCTTGACTCATCAGAGAAAATGACAGTGGTCCAAAAGGTCACAGGTCTCTCCACCATCTCATGAGCCCAATCCTTTCTGCGTTTGATATTGGCTGGACGGAGAAGTGGTTTCCTTCTTGCAGCTCTGCCATAGTAGCCCAGCTTGTGAAGATATCTGCCAGCTGTTCTGGGACTGACATCATCTTGTGTTGCTATGTCAGAAGCCTTGCAACGTGGATCCTGTTCAACATTACCTTCGACAAGACGCATGGTTCTTTCAGAGGGCCCAGGGCGGCCTGGATGAGGTTTTGTGCACTTCTTGCCCTCTCTGGTGAATTGTACGATCACTCTATTAACAGTAGAAAGGGGTATTGAAAGATTTTCAGATATTTTTCTTTGACTAAGATCACCTTCATGTTGGCCAACGATACGTCCTCACTGAAATTCGGATAACTCTGATGTTCCTTTGGTTAGTAACATGTTCCAATATTGTTATCTGTAATTTTAATCAAATAATCTAAGCTAATTTATCTTGGTTATTAAAAAAAAATCAGAAATAAAATTTATCTTGGTGTCTATTCAATTCTGTCATGTCTGTGTATATAACTCGTATCATTTAGAAATTGAAGGTTTAAATCACGGTAAAATTTAAGGAAACTACTATCGAACTCTACGAGTAACTGCACATTCTGAGCCTGCTCGGCAGTAAACTGGTATTGATTACAATGGAAGGCACTTTGAACATTAGAAGTAAAACAGTTTGGTACAGTTCTTTAATAATGTTCGTCGAATAAATAGATATCATGTCTTTCATTGAATTTTGCCCTCTTGCATGCTGTAGCACGAATGGCCAACAATCAGTCAACTGACAGCTATAAAAACAGAAATCGAACTCTGGTTTTAAATCACCCACAATGTGTGTGTGTGTGTGTGTGTGTGTGTGTGTGTGTTCATGCGCGCAAGAAATGGATTTTAATGTTACATTACGTTTATTGTTATAAACGTAATTTCAGTGGATAAACAACTTCGTGTGGGCATACTCCGTTTTTTTTCCCTAAACACGGAAATAAACTCCCGACGGCCGAGGCAGAATGTCATATTAAAGAAAATGTACCTCACGACAGGGATCAAAGGTGCATTCATTTTATCCTGAAAAACAATATTTAGCCAGGTGTAATTGAATATTCTGATTAGTAAATCTCTACCGCAAAACAAGACATTAGCTCTCTTTTTTAAGGACTGTCTTCGTACTCGAATCGAAATATATATATATATATATATATATATATAATATATATATATATATATATATATATATATATATACACACACACATATATATGTTACATACACTAACACACTAGTAGCCAAACCAAGCTGATCAGAAAAAGCTTTCAATTTGATTGGAGCAAAAGAAACCTCAACAAAAAAAAAATACCATCAATTACTTTAAAATACTTTCATTAAAAAAACATTTTGAATTAATGCAGATACTGATGTAACAGAAGTAGTCTGTATTTATTCAATCGAAGTTAGCCAAGGACATGAAGGGATAAAACAGGCAACATGAAGACTCACTTCAGGCCACAACTTTTTTTGGAATTTTTAAAATTCAGTTTGTCAGTGTGATATATTTATAAACCAATTGTTAAGTTTGATGAAAATTTGTTGAAAGATAAACGAAAAATAAGAAAGAAACCTGTAAAAATGGCCATTTTTCATGATTTACTCGGATTTCCACTATATGGATGGACTCAATTATCAAGCTAAATGACTGTTAAATAATCAACTTATTGTTGGCTACAATTGAGTGAAGTTTGTATTGCTTGAAAAGTGAGGAAGGTTTTAGTTTAAAACTTGTGTTGAAATAGTTTTTCGGTAAACGGAGTGGCGTAGAAATAAAAAATGAGGTACGTTTAGCTCGTCATGATATAAGTAATCTACATACCGAGTTTGAACGAAATCAAAGGAAAAAAGTTGAATTTATCAATTTTTTACGCTGTACAATTTATGTGCCAAGGTTGGTCAAAATCGGTTGGATGGATCTCGAATGAAAAGCTATCAGACAAACTGATATTCTCTGTTTGTATATATATATATATATATATATATATATATATATATATAATATATTATATAAAATGTAAATATATATGGATATAGATCCGACAGTATGAAGAAAAATAGACGGAAAAAAAAAAAAATATATTAATATGCAATTATGCTGCTTTAATGTTAACATTAAAACAGCATAATTGCATATTAATCATTTTTGTTTGTTTTTTTGTTCTATATATTATATATATATATATATATATATATATATATATATATATATATATATATATATATATATATAAATATATATATTAACTGTGACAATTATTTTAATATATTTTTGTTTACACCTTATTTTTAAAGATATTTAAAAGAATGCTGTTTTTGGAAAGTAAACGGTATCAATTACATTTCCCGGCCTGAATGTTCGAGAAAACGTCGGAGAAAATATGTG